AATTCACATGAACCTGTATCTTTCGGTGCCAACAGCTCATACTATGAGAAGATTGAATGCACAGTACCTGCCATTAATAAACCTGTGTTGGGCTTCACAGTGTATGTTGTTTTTTTGACAAGCGTTCCCTCATTTGATCACCGACCAGTTCTTCCATTACCTTAGATATTATTGGAAGTAACGCGACTGTCTTATAACGGACTTGATATTCCTTATATACCTCAGTGAAGATTGGGGAAAGTAGCCTATTTAAACTTTTCTTGTCTGTTGTTGTGACTCTGGTGAGTGGCTGAACGGGTCACATACCACTATGCTGATGGAACCCATACAGTTTTTCAGAATTACAGGCCCATTGTTGTCACATTCTGGTGACTTTTCTGAGAGCGTGAATTTCAGTTTTCTTAAAACTAAAGCATAAAATTATTTGCATATTTCCCAAACCATCAACTGATACTAGAGTTGAGGTGTATTCCGCGTTTGTAGGCTCCTGATGTAACCAGTCGTTGAAGTTGGCATCAAAGATCTCTGTCATCTCTAAGTTAATAATCGCAATTTTCCCTCTAAAAGAACAAATCCCTTAGTTGGTAGTTTTTCTCATTGTCATGAAACTGTAGAAATATTTAGGATTAATTTTAATTTTGGTTGATAGCTTGACCTAAAACTCTCTCCTGTCCCTTTGAACTCTAGTGCTGCATCTGTCTCTTAATGCCAAATAAGAGCTACTGTTAAACTCTTTCAGAAAGGCTTTCCATTTGTCTTAGGCTCCCCTTTTAGTCTGTAGCAGGCTTTCTGTGTCTTACTTAGCTCAAGACCTCCCATTTCCAAGTATATGCTTTCTTTGAAGTACAATGTGTAGAATGGTATTCTGAGTGATGTCCTTCACTTTGTTACAGTGATCACCCGCTGTTAGCCCCCAACACTCTCGCGACCATGGGGCGTGTTGAAGATTATATCTCATCGTTGTGTAGTTTACCTTTGTATAACCACGGTGGGAAACGTCCTCGACGCTCCGAATCATCTCGTTTTTGATAACATTAGATATTACTATCATGGTCAGTACTCACTATTGGTATATGGATATCGATGTCTTTCACTAGAAGATGATTATCTGTTAGCAAATTATTTAATTCACAGAGTTTTCCATCTTCACTCGATAGCGTGGGACCACTCCCGTGTGCGGCCAATCTCGAACTTCTAATAGCCCTGAAAGGCCCCTTAAGAAACTACCATGTAGAGTTTATTTCCTACTTCTAGAAATTCATGAATGGAATGTTGGCGTCTTCAGCTAGTAGCAATTGGCTGTACTTCAGATGTTGTATTTTTGGTATCGTCTGAATAATTTTATCCTTTGGAGTGTCAGTATCGGTGGCAACACCAGCATGCTTCCGTTACCTAGGTCAGTCCAATACTTTTCGTTATTACGGCTTTTAAGTAACAGTAAATGTATATTAGCACTTTCACCCCTGTCTTTATGTACCCTATAGTACTGAAAAGTGTCACTCCGTGCAAGTCCACTTCGTCATCGATGAGAACAGAAAATAGCCATTTTTCTATCAGGACTATAATCTTCAAATCAAACTGAAGGCACATGTTTTTTAATTTCTCCCATTTTACTTCTTGGTCCTCTCACATTGTTTTCAAAACAGCTTGCTGTTTAAACTGAATCCGTCAGTTTAGCACGAGCTAACCTCTGTAGGTTTTCCGCCTGTAAAGCCCATCCTATTCAAGAAACTGTGGTCTCTGTGTTCTGTATTATGGGTTGAGGCTGTTGCTTTATATTTTTAGGTTGGCTCTAACGACATCTGATGTAACTCCAGAGATTTTTTTGAGCTGTATCAGGTCTAAAGGGCCTTATTTGGGTCCTCTCTGTTCCCAGGGAGTGAGTTATAACGGACGAAGTAACCTGGACACTTCAAGTATCGTAGTATTGTGAAGGCCTACGCTACTTGATGGCCAACGTCACTGTTGCATATCACGTCCGTGAGGTTCGTGAAGACCATCACTCACTAGTTCACGCACTCAGAAATGCCAAGTAGGTTGGGTCCTGGGTGTTTGTTTATAACTTTCTAGTGTCATCTCTTACAAACATCTTATGGGTACATAAGTATCGTGAAGAAACCATTTCGGGTTTCTTCAAAAATGCAATAATACACAATCTTCAATAATGTTAGCATTATATTTGCCATATCTAAAAAAGTAATAATAGAATAATAATAAATCGGGTCTGTGTAATTGAGAAGAATATTGGATTGAGTTTAAAGAAGGAAAGGAAGAAAATAACGGAATAGAAATAAAGGAGACGTGAAATACGCAAATAGGTTGATAGGCGTGTTTATGAACACAGAACATGAATTAACGTCCATCTGTATATCGTCAAATTAATAACAAAAAATAATTAGGAAGAAATAACTTATTATTGCAGTACGATATGACGCTAGAATAAATGTTTGTGCAGTTATCGTTTGGAGTGATGCTATGAAAGTCTCAATTAGATAAAAAGGATAACGAAATATCAGTATGTATGAGTCATATATGAATAGTGAGAATAAAACGGGCCTGAGAAGTTAATTTAAATGTAACACAAGTTATTGTCTTAATTACAAATGTCGTAATTTTAAGAAGAAAATTTATTTAAAATGAGAGAAGAGAAAGAAAAGAGGACACCTAGTGAAAAGGTTCATCCATGATAAGAACAATAATTGTGCAATGAATATCGATCTCAGAAGTAAACCAGCAATTTAGAAGAATAAAATAAATATCCTTTAAAGCACTCGGATGAATACATTTAGATTTATGTAATAGAATACAGAGTGAAACCGGATATTAGTATAAATATTTGTGCAATAATAATTAGGAATGATGCTATGAAAGTCAAAATTGATTTCAAAGGACAATCTGGGATTAAATATGTTTAGAAGGATAAGAAGAGATAGAAAGGATATACAATTTATCGAGGGACCAATAATGATAAGAATAACGGTAATAATGATAAATACGAACATAAGCAGACTTCATATATTAAGATGAATAGAAATAAAATAAAATAGACGTGAAAAGTTTCAAAGGTTTCATTTTAATTTTCAGAAAATTAAATGGATGACGGACCTTGTTTGTACAAGTCATTATTGGATGCATTGATATTCAATAGATGACATAATCCACTTTAGGAAAGAAAATCATAAAGGAGACTTCTGAACCGGGTTGTAGTTTCACTGCAACGGAGGTTCACCTGCAGTCTGTTCCACATGGTTGAGTAGCGAATAAGAAGAAAATTCTGGCGTAAATTTCTGTGGGTTCTTGGAATCGCTAGAATATTCTCCTTATTGAGTAGATTGTGGGATGATATCATAAGGTATAAAGGGGTGAATACCGAAGAGTAGGAAATATCGTTAATAAGCCTATAGATAAAGACAAGATTTAATTTGATGCGTCTGATCCAAAGA